TTCAATTGAAAAAAAAAAAACCAAACAAAAGGTAATATAATGCTTAACGGAATTCAGATCGAATAACAGGAATTACTAAGTTGTACAGTACGTGTTATATTCAAAAGCTTTTGTATGTATGGATGAAAAATGTATATTTATATATGTGGGTGGTATAAATAATGTGTAAAGGTAAAATTATTTTTATATTTTTAATTGATTAATGAAATTAAGTTGAGGTAAGTAAAGAACAACGGATGTGAAGAGTTTACAGGCATATACTTCCGAATAGGAAAATGAAATTAATTTAATTATTGTTTTATTACATTTTTTGTTGCCAAATTAAAAGTACTCAATTTATGAGGTCTTCAACTTGTTGTTCTATAAAAAGTTTGATGAAATTGCAGTGATAATTACTGAAAGTCCAAGGGATCTTCTTTGGCGGTTTTTGATAATTTGAGTATGTCTTTGAATTTTTAATTTAAATCTTAAAAATCTTTTCGTATAATTGCAAATTTGCAAATATTAAATATTTTATTTTTGAAGATTTGTTATGTTCTCAAAGTCTGACATTTACCTTTTATGATGTTTTTCTGACTTAAAACATTTTTTTCTTAAGTTAAAATTACTTAAAGAATAAACAAAATGTGGTAAAATACGCAATTATTTAGACATTTAATTAAACATATGAAGTTCTCAAGAAATCTTCTTTCATGTTCTTTCGTTACGAAATTGTTTGACTTGGTCAGACTCCTATTAAAGTGAACTAAAAATTACGATTAAAATATGAAATTTTATAGAACATAAATTTGTTACAATCACATATAGCATATGTTTAAGCATAATTAAAAGTTGCAAAATAAATACAGTCGCGTCAGTATATAAGCAACTTGCATAACAGCAAAAATCCACTATTAGCATAAAAAAATTTGAACTTTTATTTTTTCCACTTTTTTTTTGTAATTTTCACGCTTATATTGCTTATGAGTAAGAACCTTTCATAGACACAAATGAGTTTATCACATTTACCTCTTTCTTCCTTTTATAATCAAAAAAAAAAAACTTTTAGTACACATTTTTTACTTTCATCTAAAACTCAATTCTGACATTTGAGTTGTCATGAATTAACTTATATAAGCTTAAGTAAAATTATCTACTCGAAATGTCATTTCTATTTTGAAATTTTTGTAAATCTACGAGGGCTGTTCCAGAATTAAGTAGCCTAACCAAGAAAACACAAAAATATTGATAAAATTTATTTTTATTTCTCAACATAGTCCCCTTTTATGTTGATACACTTTTGCCAGCGGTGTTGAATTGATTCGATACCATTTTTATAGTAAGAACTGGGAAACTCTGCAAAATAGCCATCAACGCCAAACTCTACCTCTTCATGTGTAAAAAATCTTTTTCCACCAAGCCATTTTTAGAAAGTAATCTGAGGAGGCTAAATCTGGTGAATAAAAAAACTTCAATTCATTAATTTTTGCCATGGCGATTGCACATGTGTGAACTGGTGCATTGTCTTGATGAAACAATACTTTTTTCTTCGACAAATGTGGACGTTTTACTTTGATTTCTTCACTTAAATGCTGCAATAAGTTTGCATAATACTCGCCGTTGATTGTTTTTCCCTTCTGAAGATAATCAATAAAAATTATCCCACACGCATCCCAAAAAACAGACGCCATAACTTTTCCAGCCGATAAAGTTGTTTTTGCCTTCTTCGGAACCGGTTCTCTCCTACTGGTCCATTTTTTTCGACTGCTCTTTCTCTCGGGAGTGTAATGATGAACCCATGTTTCGTAAATGAGTAAAAAATTCGCTTAGAAGTTTTATGCTGAAAAGTTTCATTAATTTTTGAAAATGGAAAACTTATACTTATAGCTGAACTTATTTTAAGAAAAACTAAGAATAATCTTATTAAATGCCTTTTATAAAATGTAAAAAAAAACTAAAAAGCCCTTCGCAAATGAATTTACAAATTATCGCATGCAAAACCGGAAAAATTGTGAAAAGAAAATTAGGAAAAATCATAAAAAGAATTTTGGCAATGTATCGGCTTTCGAAAACGACTGCTATTTATGTATATTAACTGCCTGAATCTGCTTTTTTGATATAATGGATTATTTTGAGTGAGTTAAAGAAAATATTACCCTATTGCTTAATATTTGTTCTAATTTACAATGTTAAAGAATGTCAATTAGATATGCTTTGATAAGTCCAAGTGTTTAAGATATCGAATAGCACCATCATATAAAAGCATTCCACCAATGCTCCTGATGCTAACACTTTATTAGCTATTGATTGATCCTCTTGGGATGAAAAATCTCTACGTCATGTGAATTATCGTATTTAATTAATAATTTACAGCTAGATAATTAAATTTTATTATTTGTAGTTTGAAAAATTTTAACTCGGTTTTATTGTTTATGTGTGCCTTAATATGAAGCATCCATCAAAGTCTCAAAGGCAATCGTTAAATAATAAAAATAAAGGATAATTTTTGATTTTATTTTTCAGAGGAAGGACAAAATTTTCTAGGTTTTTATTAATTTGAATTTATATCAAATCATATGTACATTACTCGATAATTTAATATCTGTTGTGTTGCTTAATCCATACTATAAAATATTTTTTATATTTCACGAAAAACAATTATTTATTGGAATTCAATTTGAATTCCTAATTAATTTATTTTTTGTAAAAATATGATTGAAATGTGCTTTTTTACTCCTGCAACATTTCGAAAAATTATAATATTATGTAATCCGAGAAATTATTATTAAACTATAACTTTCTTTGAATTTTTTTTTTGTAATTTGCAAGTTGAAATTCCAAACTTCCTGATATCGTGCCATTAATTAATGATTAACTTAAAATTATTGTGAAATGGTAAACATAAAAACAAGTGATATTGAAATAGGCAGACAGGAAATAAATTTTAATCTTTAAATTTAATATACGAAAATACTTAAAAAATATAATATTGTTGAATGACACAATATTACGTACATTATAATTTTAATGATTTTTAAAATTTCCGAAAATTTAATTAACAAAATTTTTATAAATGATGGTATCGCTATACGAATTTTTTATTCAAGAAGAAAATAGATTGAAATTTGATGACAGAAAATTTATTATGTATTTTAAAACATAAACAAAAAAATAAACAGTACTTTTTAAAATAATTGTACCAAGATTTAAATAACACCATACACAAAACGTTTTTAAGATAAAGGGGCTACTATCATTGAAAGTTTTGTAAGGAAAAATGAAAAAGTAAAATTATTGAGGCTTAAATTGAGGCTACAGCTGCGTTACATTAGAGGAAAATGAAAACCAAAATTATTTTTTGATAATTTAAGAATAACTAACAGGTAAAATTACACATTTTTTGCGGTAAAATGTCAGAATATCGCTTGTAATCGTTTTATCGAAGTAAATCATTCGATTGAATAGAAAAAGTATTATCGTGCTATTACGAATCAATAATAGCAATTTTAAAGAATTTAATTGAAACATGTATAATGCGACTTTTTTATACAGAAAAACTTTTAATTTTTTTAATTTACAAAATTGATTAATCAAAATTCATATAAGATATAAGGATAAGTTAGGTAAGGTTAGGTTACGCCCCCGGCCCATGCTCCTGACATGATTGCCAATCAGACAGTGTTCAGTTAAAACCCTATCAGATCCCTTGTGCGATGAAAGTCTAGCTTTGGTCATAACTTCCTTCTTTTTCGCGTTAGATGGTGTTCCATTCGCCCATCTGAGGTTGGTATGTTTCACCGCTGAATTACGTGGCAGCACAGCCTAGAGGTGCTTATAGGTATGCCCAGGCTCTTCTTTCCAAGAGTTGTTCCATGTCTCGCAAGCTGATAATAATATGAGATATAAATCATTTGGAATATTGTATATTATAAAGAATTAATAATTAATTAATTGCTTGTACTCAAATGCTTCACAAACAACATCAGCCTAATTTATTGATCAATTTGTTTCCCAGATTAGATTGCATTTACGTGAATGTACTTCGACTGGTTCTAGTTAAGGTTATCTACTTTATATCCGTAAATAATCTTGTAGAATTATAATTTATTTAAATTAAATTTAATCAACAATTTGTCTTGTTTTGAAAGGCTTAAATCGTAATGCGTTTTCGAACATAAGTACTGTATAAAATACTTTTATGCAGTAGTGTTAAACAATTTGTTAAAATGTTATATTGGAATTCGATTTTGTACAAGTACGAGTACCTTACAACAAAATATATTAAAATAAATATAAAAATAAAAAAGAAAAATCATGACAAACCAAATGTTTTTTGGCACTAACCATACCATCGGTATATATAGTAAAATTTCTCTAAAGCTTATTAATAATCATCCCATGTACAACGGATTGCCTAACCAAACAGATTTAAACTACAAAAATGATAACAATATACTGTTTTGCGTGCGTAAATGACAGTAGAAATGTAAGGTATATATGGATAAAATAAAAAACAAATTGACCATAAGTTGGTGGTTTGGTTTATCAAAGTGGTAATAGCAAAATACAATTAAAGTTTTAAAAGAAATTTTTTTCTTTTAACTTCAACATAATAATAAAGAATTTGGAATAATGCATAAATATATCTAAATATTTCTGTACATATACCTACATACATACACCCATAACATTATGTGTGTAATCATAGGTACATACTGCACTCTAATATGTAACCAAAATGTATACATTTATTTATATACAATTTGTTATATTAAATTAAATAAAAGGTCGTCTTTAAAATTCCATTTCACTTAAAAATTTAAATATTCTTCAAATTAAAAAAGAAAAATATTGATATTTTGGGAGCGGTAGTATAAAATAAAGACTTGCTAATCAATTTATATTCATTTAATTATTGTCCACTCATCTATTCAGCTCGATAAATAATATATAATTATTTAATTTAATTGTAAATAAAATAAATAAAAATTTATTTTTGTGAAAAAAACAAAACGCGTAAAATGTCGATTCGATTATTAATAACTGTTATCGCGTTCGGTTGTGGTATTATTGTTAATGGTGCTGCAATTGATAATTCAATTCTTTATGAAGAACCAAGGATTAGTAGCAGTAGTGAATTACTTGATACAATTGTCGATAATTGTTTTAATAATGATGCATTAAATTGCCTTAAAGAGAAAGTATTAAATTATTTGGATACATTAAATGGAATTTCAACAGAAAGTGCTCGTTCATTTGATGAAAAAAATATCGATAAAGTAATTTTTGAAAGAGTTGCACGTATTTTAAATACATATGAATTTAAAGTTCAATTACCAGAAACTTTATTTCAAAATACTGTAGTAACATATCGAGCTGATCGTGGACTTGATTTTGAATTAACCAAAGAAGAAGGTTGGTGAATATTAATATATATGTATATTGTATTTGTATATATGTGTTCATTAATATAATTTTGACATTGATTTGGATTTATATTTAAAATATTTAAACAAACTTTTCAAATACACACAAGTTTATAATTTTAAGGATTTTTACAAAATTCCTTTGAAGTTCCTTGAGCAAATTAAAAACAATTATTTTAAATTTGATAAACACGGAATAATATTCGAATACTTCAATGTTAAATTTCTCAAATAATCAATATTATTTTAATATTGAAATATTTTATTTGAAACCGGAAATAATTTTATTCGGCAAATATATTGAAAATCTGAATTCAGCACCTCAATCATTTCAGCTGAATGTTTGCTCTTAATAATAATTATTAACAATATAAAAATTATAATTTACCTTTTGTATTTCGCAGGTCGTGGTAATTCTTTAAAAAAGAAAGTAATTTGGCCAATTCTTCTTTTATTGAAATTGAAAACAAAAATTTTAATACCAATTATGATGACATTGATTGGCATTAAAGCAATGAAAGCATTAATTTTATCGAAAATTGCTATTAAACTTGTTTTAGGCTTTATTATTTATAATTTAATACAAAAACTTGGTGGTTTAAAAATGACAATGATGCCAATGATGCCACCAGCACCAGAACCAGTATATGGTGTACCATCACCAACAACACCAGCACCATATGAACCAAGCAGTTGGGAACCAGCTAAAGAATATGGATCACCTTATGCTCGTGTATGGTCAGAACCATCATCAGCCCAACAAATAGCATATAGTTCATATTATCCAAGTAGTTCATCATCATCAGCTAGCTCATCATCTGGTTCATCTAATTCAGGATCATCAACATCTTCTACATATTCTTCATATAGCTCGTAAAGATGAGACAGAAGATAAAATATTTTTAAAATCAAAAGAAAAATGAAAAAACAAAGAAAAATTAAGAGAAAAATATTTAAATAAATTTCGTATTCTAAATTTCTTTTTAGCAATAATTTATTCAATAAGATCAGAAAACATCTGTAAGAAAAGAAATTCATAGATGAAAAGTGCGCATATTGTTTTTACCAAAAAAGAAAAACTTATAATTAATTAAATTTATTTATTTATTTATTTATTTTTATAAAAAAAAGACGAAAACTATTTAAATAATATTTTTAATTAGAAAATCAACAAAATATAATTTAATAATTTAACACCAATGTAAAATTTAACGAAAAGAAATTTTGTACAAAGATGAAAAAGAAAAATAAATTTTTGAATACTGCAATGTTTAAATAACTGGAGTTCTTAAATTGCACCTTTATTTAATTTATGCCCATTATTAATATTTTAATAATTAAACTTCAAAATTTAACAATACTACTGTCATTGAATAATTAACAATGTTTTCACCAAAATCCAAATATTATTCAAAATTCGTGCCAATTGATTAATTTCAGATGGATTTAAAAGTGAAAGCTTTTACAAGTATCTGACATTAAACCCCCTTATTATCAAAAATATTTCACTCCTATAAGTGATAGCTATGCGATATACATAAGTAATCCGGTACAATAAATTTGAAAAATAAAAGCAAAAAAGTTTTTAACTATTTTGTTTATTTGAGTTTTCTGTCAAATTGTAAAAATTTTATTTGAAATTTATAAAATAAATTAACAATTTCAATTCGAGTTTGCTATAAAGAATAATTTTTTAAAATAATAAGAGAATAATATGAGAATATCAAAATAAAGAATAAAATACACGCAGAATTATATTTCGAAAATGAAAAAACAACAGATGATGCAGAAGCAGTAAATCCAAGAATAAACTATTATCTAAGAATAATTAGGCACCCATTAGTTTTCAATTAAAGGATTTTATTTACGTAAGTATATTTTGATGTCAATTTTGTTAATGACAACATACCGAGTACAGTGTGCACACATTCACTAACATAATAAATGACTGCACTTTAGCAAAAAAGGGTGTCAAAATTATATCTGTCAAAAAAAAAAAAATTTGCATTCAAACCAGTAAAAATTCATATAAAAAGCGAGTTTTGCGAAGTCCGAATTGCACTTAAGCGTGTTCTACTGTATTAAAAATAAAAAAAAATAAAAAAATCTGATGTGGTCAGCACATAACCGACCGCAATGTGTATTATCAAGTTAAGTGAAAGTGTTACACAATATTATAAAAATGCCTATTAAATACTTCTTTCCAATTTTTAGGACATTAGTAAGCTTATAGTTAACATACCTAGAAAAATGTAAATTTGGCTCTCAGTAGAGTTTCGCTTTGTGCTACCTGAATTCCCTGAAATGTTTGCCAGTTAGTTTCGGTAACAACCAGAACTCAAATATCAAATTTCAAGAAATTCCATCAATTCGGTCTAGTGAAATGGATATGGTGAAAAATGTAAAATCGGCCCTCAGATCAGTTTCCGAGTGGTGATCTTTCCAAAGAATTTAAGTATATGCTCATCGTTTCAATTTCAAGGAATTTAAATATTAAATTTCAATGAAATCGGTTGATTATTTCCCTTTATATATATATGTAAAAATGCATATTTGATCCGTAGTAAACATCCGGTTACTGACACCTGATTTCTTCCAAAAGTTAGGAGGTTTCGCGGACGGTCGAGTAAAGCTCTTATATGAAATTTTAAGTAAATTTGTTGAATATTTTCTTCATAATGATCAAAAAAGTAAAACAGGCCCACTGAAAAGTGTAGTTCCCGAGGCCTGATATATCCCAAAAGTTAATCAATCCGTGCCATAGTCGAAATAAACTTGCATATAAAATATCATCATAATCGGTTCCTCCGAACTTGAGATTCACGCGTGCACACACAGTCCGACAGACCGACCCTTTGCTAAAAATAGTTTATTTACATTTTCCTACTATGGAAAAGTTCATTCCAACCAAAAACTCGATATGCAAAATTTGTTGCCATCACATAATTTGTTGTATACACAATGCGGTCGGTATTAAAAATTGCTTAGTATAAGAAATTTAACAATTTTCTAGTCAGACTGGTTATCTTACTTGCTTTTTTTGTTGGCTTAAATACAAATTGCACGTAAGTGCACAAATTTAAAATCTCCGAGAGTGTGCACTTATCCGTGCTTTATTCTATATACTTATATTTCATTTTTTTTAAAAATACGATAACTACGATAGTCTACTTTACCCTATATGCTAATTTCAGCATGCTAATTGAATCCAACAAATATTGATCCAAGTCAATAAAGCCACCATTTATCATAAATCAATGTGCACTATTAAGCGTTAACAATCAAACATTAGTTTTGTTAAATTAAAAAAAAAGTTTTATTTCAAGCACATAAATTTTCTGATTTAGTTTTATAAGAGTTTCTTATCGTTTATGAAATTTCTCGATATGAATAACGAATTTTTCAAAATTTTAAGAACGTAAATTTTTATAAATTTAAAAGTCGTATATAACTCATATATTTCCCACAAATCTGAAATGTCGCTAAAATATATTTTTCTTTGTAAATAATTTTGTCGGTGGTTCAAATCCAAAATATATTATAACTATTAACCGAGGTTGAAAACTAAAATATTGTATAACAAATGCTGTATAACAGTAAGCTACCTGTATTCCAATAATAATTTTTATTTATACATACAATTTCGTTAATCTAGGACAACAACCATTAAATTTTAACTTTTTGTTAAAATCTTATTTTCGTTTAAAAATTTTACGGTGATAGAATAGAAAAGTTTTCAAAAGTTTTTTTTTTTTTAATTTAATTTGAATTGTGGCAACGGTAAAATGTAACTTTTTCAATATTGTACATACTTACAGTTATACAGTTTTTGAGCTACTCCGTATTGAAAAAAGAAGTATCAGACTTTTCCGGCATAATATAAATAAATGCTTATAATTTCAGAACCATGAAACGCAGAGTTCACAGGGGCTCATGCATACATTTCATTCAAATTCCTTACTATACAATACTAAACTAAAAAAACTATGTGTGAATGTTATGTTTGAATGAGAAATGTATGATCAATGCATTTTTCGTATGTTTTACATTTAACACGTTTTACCGGAAAACCTATGAGAGATAAAGGAAAATGTTATATGAGTTAAGTTTTAGATTTAATTGTGGCACATCGAAAAAAAAAAAAACAAAAAAAAAAATAATAACACAAAATTTCAAGAAATTTCGAGATCTTTAAAAAAAATTTAAAAAAGAAAAAACAAAAATTCTGATTTTGAAAAGCTCTATCTGAAAAATTATAGCACAAATGAAATTGATTGTAAGAAAAAAAATAAATAACAATCAATTGCCTGCAAAAAAAAGCCTCCGATGGTTACTCTATGTCGCATAGTTTCGAAGTTATAGGCATTTATTTACAACTTGAAAAATCTAGTACCTATTTCTTTTCAGCAGGCTGTAGCTCGAAAACGAGTATATCTGAACCTTCCCCAAAAAAATTATCCCTGAAATTATTTGCCACCTTTATTATAAGTAATTACAAAATTATAGAATTTTCGAAATAATTTGAAAATAACCAGAAAGATTGCACACTACATAAATAATAAAATTAAATTTAATTTTGAAGCATTACAAAAATTAGAATTCAGCGAATTCGTCCGCGAGTTTGTCAATGTGGGGATGATTATATGTGCATATCCTAAAAATAAAAATAAACAAAAATAAATATTAATTAAAATTATTTATAAAATTGTTAATTATTGCATAAAATTTGGCACGAAATAACTATAAAACCAAATTATAGGGTAAAAAAATTTAATTTAATTTTTTAGAAAAACCCTTATTTTCGTATGCAAACTACATAATATGTGTACATATATAATATATTATGTAACAATTAAAAAAATTGAAAATAAAAACAAACTTATGTACCTAAATATTTTAAAATTCAAAGCAAATGTATAATTTTCTAAGAATTTTATTGCAATTACTCCAACTTATTATTAAATATGCTCGCATAGATAAAAATAAATGATAAAAATATAAAAACTAAATACGGAAGAGCTCAAATATATGAAAACTTTCTTTTCACAATAAAACCAAATGTATAACCTCTTTAAAACCTCTATATATATATATTTGCTATTTATATATATATATATAAATATACATATATAATATACATGTAAACAATAATCAACTTCACCTTCAATATTAATTCTTGTCCCTTTTTTTTCTGTATTTTATTTAAAAATTTTTTTATTATTGCAATCCTGCTGCATAAAATGTGACTTGAATTTAATTATGTATAATATCTAATTCCATGGCTATTAAAAGCAGCCATCATAATTCATAAATCGACTATACATAAAATAGCATTATATGCTTCTTTGTTATATGTATAACACAGTTATAGGGTATGAGAGTTATTCAAATATTAAAAATGTGGAAAAGAAAGAAAGAAAATCTAATATTATTCTTGAATGACATAAAAACATATTTGATTAAAACATATAAAAAAGGAGGCAATTAAAAAGTGAAAAGTCAACAACACCTTCACTTCTTCTAACACAATACAAACTATACAAAATATTGGTAATAAATATTTGCTAAATAAAAAAAAACAAAAATCAATTCGTAAAAAAAAGTGCATTGCAAAAAATAAAATAAATTTTTTTATTTCTATTTTAATTTTTTATATGCAAGAATTGTGGTCATACTGACCCATCTTGAATCACAATCAAAAAAAAAAAAAAAGTGAATAGTTCTATTTCGCAAAATTTATGCAAAATAAATGCATTTTTTTTTTTTATTTCATTTGTTATGCGTGCATGTTAATTTTCTGACTTGGACTATAAAAAAATAGAAATCGAAAAATGCTATCATACTTATCTTCTATCCTAAAAACAATTTTTATATTTTATTAGATTTCAATTTTGTTAAAGATTTGAAGTTGTTCCACTTGCAATTCTAAAATATATACGAGCGCCTTAAAATCATATTACCTAATGGGATATTACGTCATTTAAAATAATTA